CCCGGCGACGCCCGCTGCCCTGGCCGCTCGGGCCCGGCCCGCCTGCGCCCAGCGCCGACCGCTTCCTTCCCGGCCTCGGCTCCGCCACGGGCAAAGCCCGGCTTCCTCCCCAGGCCGAGGAAGAGCGGAAAGACTCCTGCTGCCGCCCTCCGCTCCCGCCTGACCTCCGCGCACTTCATGCTCGCCTATTCCCCCGACGTTGTTTTTGTGCATTCTTCCTCTAATGCGAACCAGCCGCCTCGGCACAAGCTCCAGCTGGACTTACTTGCCCTTAACCCTCGAGCTCACAGAGCAGGATTTCTGCTCCCAAGTGCAAGAGTGCAGCTTTGCTGGAGGAGCTACCACCGCCAGGCCTCAGAAACTCACCTTAATTCGCACCACGAGCATTGTCCCATGCAGACTGAGCTGGCACACGCAGGGAAGAAGCTCCACTTACGTCAGCCAAAGTCCAATTCCCCACCTCCTGGGCTCCACAGCTCCCAGGGACCCAGGGGACATCAGGGCATCCTACATCTGAATAATCAGGAGATGAGGCTGCACCTGGGGGTAAGCAGCCCCCGCCCAGCCGCAGGGTGCTGCCTGGGGAGGGCAGAGAATTAGGAACAGGGCGTCTCTAGCAGATGCTCTCCCAAGTCAGCAAAGAGAAACACAAAGTGGCGAAGCCGATGCTCAGCACCGAGCGCTGCACCAGTTTGCCACTCACTGGAAGGAAGAGGGGCTTCTCAGATTCACGCCCGGGTAAAAGCTCGCTCCCTTGGGTGCAGATTCAAGTCCAGGCCCGACTGCTGTCCTCGTTCCACGTTCTCTCACTACCACCACGGGGAGGGAAGAGCCAGAAACACTGACACTCGGGCAAGCAGCACAAGCCCCACTCCTGCATCCTCCTCTAAAGAGGAAGGCTTGAGCCTGGAGCCCTGCCTGCAACTACAAAGCTCTTCCAGAGCCGCTCCCCGTCAGTCTTTTCCATCCATGAGCTGAAGCAATACCTCCCCTCTGACAGAGCAGTGCAGTGAAGCCTCCCATTTGTGGAGAGCTTTTGAACGGGAAGGGGAGAGGCAGGAGTTTAACACTTGGGGCAACTTCATGGGTTCAGTTTGTTCTTTAGCTCATCTTCAAACTCCCTTTTCCACTTAAAGCTACAACTACCAGAGCTCCAGACTAACTACTGCACTGCATTGCCCGTGGACTTTTCTCTCAATTTCCCTTTGAAAACAAGACTAGAAAGTATGCACGTCTGTAGGGACAGCTGCTTTCCCCTGCTGCAGCCACTGGTGATCACGCGCATACTGCGCCCCTTCCCATGAACTGGGGAGGATGTTCCCTTTTCAAAACTTTTGAGTTTTTGGGACGATGCCCTGGCTGGGTGCCTACAGGGGACCAGGGCTTTGGCTGAACAACCGTCTGAGGACGGGTGGGACAGCCTCTAGGCAGCTGCAAGGGAGTGAAAATGGAAGCGGCCTCAGTGGCTTAACCCAACATTAAGCTGCCAGAATTCTTAGCCTGGTTATTTTAGCCCCCACCCCAAGGACACAGTCCCACCCCACATGTACACGAGGTTGTCTGACACTGAGCAGGGAAAGCGGGTGTTCCCAGGAGCCCTGGCACCAGTGCTCAAGGGAGTGCAACCTAGACACATTCACCAACAGCCGTCTCCACCCCCACATCACTAATCCTGAAAGTTACTCTTCATTTAAAAACACAATTAAAAGCTTACTGGCAAGAAATCTGACACTGAAATCCAGACTGTCTGTTCCCCTTCTGGTTTTTCCTATGATCTACTGGTGTCACGTCCATGGAGCTGCAGTCAATAAAACTCTGATACTGCCGTCCACGCCTCCTTGCAGCAGGCATTGTGCACAGACCTAAAGTGAAGACACCCCATCACAGGAACAGGCCAATGCCAGTGTCCTTTTATAATACTCTTTATTTGATTAAAGAATCTGTATTCTTTGTGTATACTGGAATGTGTTCTATTCCCTAGGTCATTATTATACAGGGTTACAAAACTTTGTTTTTTTTTTGTTTTTTTTTTAAATATGACCCCAAAAGTAATTTAAGAAAAATGCTCGTTTGATGTTTGAAACTAAACTGGACTCCATTTTTAAAATCATACAGACAAGCAACTCTTGAACACAACTGAATTAATAAGATTCATTGTCTACTTAACTACGGAACAGGGCTTGTTTCCCCTCCCCCAGAACACATCACCCTCCCACGGAAAGAACAGAGGTTACAGTTCCTTGCTGATGTTATTAAGGGACGGGAGAAGAGACCGCTAACTTCTTTGGCAGATGACCCTGCAAGCACTGGTTTGCACTTAGACTAACAGGTGCTCACTGCGGAACACCGTACACGAGCTGTTTGTGAGCAATCACATCCTGTCGCCCACAAACCAGCTCATGCGCCGTGTTCACCCACAACTTTGGGGTCTTGCTACGAGTTCCTGTGCAGTTGTGTGATAAGCCAGTCACTACCCAGGTGTGGTCAGGCTGAGACCTGCCCCCAATGTCACAACCCTGATCAAGCAGGGGAGAGGTGCTCTGAAGGGAAGACGGCTTCCCCAGATGGGGCAGGCAGTGATCATCGAGTCAAGCAAAGACATCCCTACTTTACAGTGCCAGCTGACAAGGCTAGGCACAGTCCTTGCTCCACAAGAGCAACACTCAGAAGCACTCCCAGATCTTTGACTGCTATCAGAAATCTCTGGGCTGGAACCAAGGCTTCCCTCCTCCTCTCTCACTAAGTGCCAAGAAAACTATACTTTAACAGGGGCCCAAACAGACTAGAAATTCAGAATTACTCAAGCCACTGAACAAAACCACCTCCATACCCACTTACAAACTACTCAGGAATAGGAAAATGCCCAATTTACTTTGAAAGCCTCAAATGAATCAGGACAGGTCAAAGACGGTTCATCTACACAGGTGAAATTGTTTTAAGCATTTTCCCCACGTGCAACAGGAGACGGCAACAGAGAATTCTGGCAGAGATGCTTCCTCCCCTGCAGCTGGAGTTAACTGCGCTCCCGGTAGAGGCACACAGGCTCGCCGGGACAGCTAGCTGAATGGCAGGTCTATAGCCTGGAAGCAGAGCTGAACCGACAAGTCCACAGCACAGCAGGGTTGAGCACCTGTACCATGACCATTAAGTCCCCACCTTTCAAAACCTAGGTCTGATTAGAGCCTTTGTCTAGCTGCGATGGAACAGGGGCCCATGTAGAGAACTTCTTAACACCAGTCTGAATGACTGTAAGCAAGGGCTGAAGGCAGTGGAGAAATTAAAATGGCAAGACTCACAAACAAACAGAACACACAAAACCAAAATGGAAGCCAAAGATCTAAAATTACATTCTGGGACTGAGCTCTAGCCAGTTGATTGGGAGAAAGTAAAGGGAGGTGGCAGAGCCAGGGAGCTGTATGGAGATCCTGCTTTCTTGCTGGCCTGTAAATCTGCCAAAGAAGCTTGCAGTCTTCCCCCAGTGATTATGCCAGTTCTCTGCCAAAGTCCATCTGTGACCCAGGACGCTGCAGGTAGGTAGACAGAGTCATGTGTCCTAGCAGAGAGGGCTGTGGCGTTCCAGACGGTCATAGTAATCTTGAGCCGTTTTTAATTTTAAAATTTCCTTTGCGACCCCTGCTGCTGGCGTTACAGGATTTCATATTTGTCCACCAAAAAGGTGGTCTCAGTGGAAAACCTCACAGGGCTGTTCCCATCTACCTGGGTCACTTTGGTAACCTGCAGAGAGAACACACAGTTAGTTCAACACTTCACATTCTGCCTCCAAAACACAAATTATACTGAGCTTTTTAAATGAAGGTCAGGACAACCAAACGACTTGGGGTGGATGGACAAATCCTCTCTCACTCACTGGGTCAGCTTCAGCTTCAGTAGACATTGTCCTACTTTGGAGAGGAGCCAAAGACAGTTACCCCATTTATGTCAACTATCATGTCCCTGTGCAGAGATGAGCTACTGCTTCTGGGAAAGGCTGAAGGAGAGGAAACTCATGCTGTAGCTGCTCATTTGATCAGGCAGGTAGAGAGATGCCCTTCAGTTCCAAGCCCCATGTTCCCCCGCCAGACTGGAATAAGCCTTCACATTACAAAAAGGGATTTTCACTTGCTTCCAGTAATTAATACTGTGACCTTCCATGGCAAACCACTTGTCAAGTGGTTTGAGAAAGACTCCTTCACCCACTGCTGCACCAGAGGCAAGTCTGACTGGTGCTTGAGACCCTGGTGAAGAATTCCAGATCCAACTGAAGGTGCAGAGCATGTTTCAGGGAACCTGGATGAAGCGACCTGTAGTGGCATTAGGTTCAAACACCCCAGCTCACCAGAAGCCATTTTTAAGCACTGGTGCCTAGGGCCACGTTGCCTTTTCTGAATGAGAAATTCACCACACTCGGAAAGCTCTTAGCTGGTTCCTGGAGATTCCCATCCAAATCTCAACTGCTGCAGCCTCGACAGATGCAAGATGCCAGGCCTGCAGGCTTTCCCTGTTACTGCTGCTGACTCTTCCAGGAATATCACATTGTGCTGAATAAACAGTAGTGTCTGACAGCTCGCAGGACCAGGGAAACAATACAGCTGCTCAGCGTGTCACAGCACCCGCCTATTCCACGAGCTGCAGTGAGCTCCCACAGAGAGCCCCCTGCCCAGCTCCGCACTACAGGCACAGGCAAGGTGAATCATACCTGGATGTTGCAGTAATTCTTTTTTGAGATGAAGGAAACTTGCACTGGGAAAAAGTCATTGGGCTGCCCAGCTATGCTGAACTCCAGGCTGCCGCTTTTGTTTTTGGCATCTATCACTGGCAGGCACCACTCAAGGAGATTCCTCCGGCTGTCATGGCGATACTCTCCGTCCATGTCCCCAATTACAGGGGCACCAACACCGGACCTTTTAGCAGACAAAGAGAAGCTGCGTGTTAGTGCTGCCTGCCTAGGTCCTATACACATCACATGAACAGGGACCTACCTAATCATGATTTCGTGGGAAACAGTGAAAGATGGCAGCCAATGTGGACAACGCTATTTCCCCGCAAAAAAACAAAAAACCAACCAAAAAAGTAGCAGCAAGGTAGACTGAGTGAAGATGCCCTTCTGCCAATCAATGGCAAGGGACAGGGCCACTGGGACCTCTCCACCAACCAGTGACAAGGGGAAGGGCCACTGCAAAATGGCTGTGAAACCTGCTTTGCGTGCTGTGAGCAAACCGTGAAAAACCCACTGTCTCACCACAACTTAGGTAGGTCCCTACACATGAATACCATGCCTTCCTGTGCCACCTCCAGAAATTCACCAGGAGCAAGGCACCCAAGGTCCATTTAAGAAGATATCCTGAGTTCTCAAATCCCTGTTCCCAAATCTTACTTACGGCAATGGGATTGTGATGACCACATCATTCAGTTCTAGGCTCTCTTCTTGTAGTTCATATTCAATGTTAACATCACAACCATTCCCACTCTCTGACGGCCAGCAGTTAACTATGGGCACAAACACAGCAAACTGGATCACATGAGCTCGTTACATAGGGACAAACCTAGCAAACAGACATATTTATAAGTGGGTGGAAAACCAATGCAGGTACCCAAGCGCTGCCAGCCACCTTACAAATGGCAGGGCATTAAGTATGGTGACGTCTACGGCATTATTAGAAATACCTGCCAATTAGCTAGGGTGATTAGCATGGAAAGAAGATGCACCAAAACCACTGCGTTTTCCCTTAGACAACAACAACGTTTAACCACAAACAACCTGCAGAAGCAGTTTCCTATAAAAACCAGATACAACCTGACAACCTAGGGCCACACAATCAGCCAGCCTCTTCAGTCCAGGCTTCCGTGTCCAACCTGAGAAAGGCCATGCACATAGGTGCACTCACTTGTTAATGGAATGAAAGACTCTTCTGTGGTCTGCAACCGCCATTTCAGCACGCCAACATCACTGTTAATAGGGAACGATTTCTCAGGGTTCTTCAAACCAATCTGTGATTCTGCAGTAAACAGTTTCTTGTCCACATTCGGGTGGGTCTGAAATGGAGAAGGTGCCAAGCTGGGTTAAAGCAGTTTTAATTCAGAGACCACAGCTGCACAGTCCTGCTGGGACATGCTCCACACCCAGGAATCCCCCTCCCCAATCCTGCACGCACCACAGATCACATCTACTCAGCAATACAAAATGCTGTCCAAGAAACTGATGGCAAGGTTCCCTCCAAGCTGCCTCCCCTGCACTGCCATCCTTTTAAAGGGACCCTAGGGCTTTGTTTTTTTGAGGGGTTTTTTTAACGGAACAAATTTTAGTGAAGCTCAAAATCTGCAGGAGCGTTTCCTTTAGAAGTCAAGTCTGACAAACTTATTTTAAACTAATCACAGAATATTAACACATTTCACTGGTTAGTGCTTAGGTTACATTGGAAGGACAGAAACTGCCATTGGGTTTCATTCTATCTTCAGTCTCTCAAGTTGGAGGACAGTGTCAGGGAAGTCCTTGGCGAGCCTGCCCTGGGCAAAGTGACAGGGACTTACTTTACTAAACCAGGGGACCCCCCCAACCAATTAAGCAGTTGCACCAACTTTGTAGGATTCTGTAACAACCCTCAGCTAGGTAGATTACAGAAGCTACAAAGGACATATGAAATGGAGAAATCTTCATGGCTCAACATGCTACATGGACCCAGAGAAGAGAAGAAAGAGTTAATGTGCAAAAGCCTCCAAAGTCTGTACTACTGACTGCAGCCACAAACAGATGCTAGCTAGTGTGCTGAATACTTGAAAGCAATGGCAGGGTAAAGTCAGCCTGGAAAGGGAGCAGCTTCTTGGCAGATTTGTTTCACTCTACGCTTGCTGCACGTAATTCCAACACAGAGCACGCAGAACAGGCTCATGCAACAGCTAGCGTCAAGCAAAGAACTGTGATTCCTGCAAAGTCCAAGGGATACGAAGGACATGCCAATATGCATCCCCTGAATAGATACGGCTGCGAAAGGAAAAGATAAGCACAAAGAACTGGATTTCCAAGAGAACTTCAGTCTCCGTGCATGTGATCTGGCCCATCATTTGTGCTGCAATCACATTTGCTGTCACCGCTGCCATTTTCAGTGCATCTGCTGAGAAGACTTCAACAAAAATACACAGCACAGAACACAGTACACCATAATGTTTCCAACACTGTCAGGAATAACCGGAGGCCAGTGGTACAAAGCACATACAGACGTCAGAACCAGTCAGCCTTACCTGTAGCTGAACCCCCCTCTTGTCTTCATTTTCTACGTGAAGGCGAATCCGTGCAAACTTTTCTTCCAAGATCCTCAGCATGATCATGCCATGCAGCTCCATGTTTTGTAACCCACCATCACGGCCACAGGTCAGCGAGATTTTCTCCTCAATTTTCATATGCACACTAGAAAGAAGCAAAAGCCCAATACTCAAATGCCACAGAAGCAGGTAAGCTTATGTACTGCATCACCAAGACACTTTGTTTCTGGCCACTTCCACAGTCAACAGGTGGTAAAACTGAAAGGATGCAAAGAAATGCAACAGCAACGGTTAAGGAGTGGAACAGACAAACGTCCTGAACAGCTCAGCTAACGGCTGATAAGCCTGGGGTGGAAAAGATGGCACGGCGGGTATCAATCTGTTTGGAATAATGAACACTCCAGCAAATAATTATGAGGAAGGGAAACGTATAGGTCTGATATGTTGAAAAATCCCCAGAAGGTCAGGGTTAAAATGTTCAAGATTACCTTGGTCATTGGGGTGAAAGTTCTACGGATTTTTTTTTTTTTTTTTTTTTTTTTTTTTTTTTTTTTTTTTAAAGACTCCAAATCCTAACTGCTCAAGTCATTTTTGAAAATGGAGTTTAAGCTTTTACGTCATTTAGGTACCTCCGATAATTTTACCTAAGACTAAAACGACTCACTCTAAAGGTCAGCATGCAGGATCTGAATGCGTGGAGAAACCCACCCTGTCAAATAAATGGAAGAGCCCGGCAGACCTGGAAGCGATATCTGGACCTCTCAGTTGCATTGAAAACAGCACTGTTATGGTCTAGGGCAACACCTACCTCTCAACATTAATTGGCGGAGCAACTTTAGCTGCCTCTGTAGAACGCTTGCCAACCGAGGAGGTCATGATATTTTCTCCTTCCGATTTCAATTTGTCCACAAAGTTGTCCACCTCCTTCCCTTTAGCTCCGAGCTTCAAAGCCTTGCTGGGCCCTGTCGGCCTAAAGAACAAAGGAAGTAAGATACAACTGTCTCTGGGACAACTACAACAGTTGAGACTAGGCCACATCAACGTCACCATTCACCTTTGGAACTTTTCTCAAGATAAACCAAGCACAAGAAAACCGTCTTGTGCGTAAGTACTAAACTGGAACTGCACTTCCAGCACTACCAGTTCTTTTGTCACCAGTAAGTCATGAAATCTGCAGCTCTGTTCCTCACTTGTGTAACAGGAACAAACAACACTCACCTGTCTCCCAGGTGTGCTAGCCAGGAGAAATTTAACATGTATGAGGTAGCACGTGTGACATCCACCCAACTGTGTAAGAGAGGTTCCTGGCTTTATGAAAGTGCTCACTGTTTATTTCAGCAGCCCCGTGGGAAATTTGGTGCCTCTGCACTGCCTGGCAGCTGCACAGACACCCTGGTAAGAGAATACGCAATACCAAGAGCTGGACTGAAATCTCATAACCCCCAAAATTCAGGCACGAGCTTAAGTGGCAGCAAGACAATATTTACACCAGCTGGTGGATAATGCTAGCAACCATGCCCAGAAATTCTGTTCACTTTTAGCATCCCTCCGTATCATTCATCATTTCATAGTAGGTAGGGTCGGAAGGGACCTGAGCAGATCATCAAGTCTGACCCCCTGCCACGGACAGGAAAGAATGCTGGGGTCAAACGACCCCAGCTACGTGATTATCTAGGCTTCTTTTGAAGACCCCCAGGGTAGGAACGAGCACCACTTCCCTTGGAAGTTGGTTCCAGATCCTAGCTGCCCTGACTGTGAAGTAGGGCCTCCTGATGTCTAGCCTGAACCTACTCTCCGTCAACTTGTGGCCGTTATTCCTACTTACTCCAGGTAGTGCTCGGGGGGAACAGGGATTCTCCCATTTCCCCTGGTAAGTTTACAGATGGCCACCAGATCCCCTCTCAGCCTTCTCTTGTGAAGGCTGAACAGGTTCAGGTCCCGTAGCCTCCCCTTGTAGGGCCTGCCCTGCTGCCCCGATCACGTGGGTGGCCCTCCTCTGGACCCGCTCCATGCCGGCCACATCCTTCCTGAAGTGCGGCGCCGAGAACTGGACACAGTACTCCAGCTGCGGCCTGACCAGCGCCGCACAGAGGGGGAGGATCACCTTCTCGGACCTGCTCGTGATGCATCTGCGGATGCATGGACAAGGTACAGTTAGCTTTACTGACCGTGTCCTCACGTGGGTGGCCCATGTTCATCTTGGAATCAAGAATGACTCTAAGATCCTTTTCTGCCTTTGTGCTGACGAGAAGGGAGTTCCCCTGCCTGTAGGTATGCTGCTGGTTCTCCCTCCCTAGGTGCAGCACCCTACACTTGTGAATAGGATGGGATTCAATACTGACAACTGCCCACCCCTGTAACCTGTTCAGATCTAGTTGTAGCCTGTCCCTCCCTTCTAGCATGCCCACCTCTCCCCACATCTTAGTGTTGTCCGCAAATGTGAACAAGGTGCTTTTCACCCCCTCATCCAAGTCGCTGATGAAGATGTTACATAGTGCGGGCCCGAGGACCGAGTCCTGGGGGACCCCACTGCCTATTATCCTTCCAGGTCGAAAATGACCCGTCCACCACCATGCTCTGGGTGCGGCCCTCCACCCAATTTGCGACCCATCTGACTGCGCAGGCATCGACGCCACAGTTGCCTAATTTTTTTATGAGAATGGCGCAAGAGACATTGTCAAAGGCCTTCCCGAAGTCCAGAAAGACTACGTCCACCGTGACACCTGCATCTAAGGATTTTGTGACCTGTTTGTAGAAGGCCACCAGGTTGGTCTGACACAGGGGTGGGCAAAATGCAGCCCGCAGGCCAGATGTGGCCCACCAGGCCATTCTAGCCAGCTTGTGGGGCCCCTAAAAAAAATTTAGAAAATCTGCTCCTGGCTGCCTGCCATGCGGCCCTCAATGTCTTGCCAAAACTCACTAAGTGTCCCTCCGCCCAAAATAGTTGCCCACCCCTGGTCTGACAGGACCTGCCCCTAATGAACCCATGGTTGGTTTCATCCATCTAGAAAACACAACCTCCAGACAGCCTAAAATCAAATTCAGCATTTTAACATGTGGTCTACAGCATCCTTTGCATTGCTAATGGATCTGAACTACCCAAAATAATTTCCTACCTGGCTGGAGCCGGTGCCACCTTGGGCTTCTCTGTTTCAATAATGGTCTCTGTGATCATGGCTGCAGTTGTGCCCCCTGACACAGCCGAGCTGCCAAACCCACCAAAGCCTGGTGCTTTTTTGCCTTGTCTCTCTGCATCTCTTCGGGCCTGCTGCAGCTCCTTGGCTTTACGACGCATCTCAGCCTTTGCCTCACGTTCTTGGGTCTACAGGAAAAGACAGAGGGCTGCCTAAATCTTTAAGAGCTTGGTTTGTTCCACACAGCAAAGCACATTACTGAAGTCTGTTTACACTTGTACAGCCACAATGACAAAAAGCAGGATGGAGGAAGAAGAACAGTTTTAAAAGTGCCACGGTGATCTGATGAATGAAAAATTAAGTCATAATCAAACCTGAACAATCACCTTCTTCACAATTAAGAAAGCTGCAATTAATGGGCACCTGGCAGACTACTGTATTTAAAGCAAGTTGGATTCGAAGTTCTCAGCCTACCTCTCTGACTGCTCGGAACACCTTTTCTTCATGCGAATCCATTTCTGTGAAAGTCCGAATCTGTGCCAGGTTCACGTTCTCGCGGTACCCCAGGGCAACAATCTCATCAAAGGCAAAAATCAGGTCAAAGCAGTGCTCAGAGATCTCATTCTCCTCCAGAGCCCGGCAGTACTCAGGGATCTGAAGACGGAGAAGAGCAAAAAAGGAGACTTTACACGTTAAGAATGACTCTGTGCTAAGTTGCTCCTCCCACCACACTACAGAGCAAACTTATCTTGGTGCTGAACCCTGGCACGAGGGCTGGACATCATTTATATCATACTCTGAGGGCCTGAGTGAGACTGAAGTGGCATAGAGGCTTTGCATAGATCTGTTACTCAAGTCATTTCCACCCCCAGGACATTGTTTCTGTGACCCAGCCCTGCCTGACCCCAAAATGCCAGACCAACACTTTTTTAATGCCCTAATTCCAGTTCTTCCACTTGCTATCCAAGCCAGTTTTTACAGCACTGGAAATAAGCAAAGTGCGGTGATAAGTTGCACGATTTAATAAGTTGCTGAAGACTTTTTGAAAGACTAAATGGAGCTATAATCCTCTGGTTGAGTGACCTTGTAATCCACAGAAGCCTGAGCAGATAGTAGATCCTGGGCTGTGCTAGAGATAGCCAAGATAGCGCCGGAAGTTAGTTGGCTGAAGGACAATTATAAAGCTTTATAAAGACAACACTTTGAACACATATGCAAAGGGGTTTTTAAAATAGCATTACTAGTATAGCAAGAACATGCAGTAAATTCTGTTCACACCATCTTCCTTTAATAGCTGGTATTAGGGTTTTATTTAGAGCTCTACACACTTGTTAGCTTCTTATCTTAGTGGAAGAGTAGGTTGTTTTTGTTTAAATCTTAACTAAAACTCACTGGGTGTCCTACTCGGGGCAGGGTTAGTACAAGAGGTCACAGGAGCAAGCTCATTAACAGAAACAGGCCACAGAACAATCAGACTGTTTTAAGAAGGCAGAGAGTACTGCAGGAACAGCTCTCCAATGCAGCACCTCCTAACACTGTTCTTCCAGGTTAAAGAGCTTACAAGGTTTGTACTAAGTGACCCAGAAGTAGTAGCAGTTACCACTCTGGAGAAGAGCCGGAGTGTTTCTAGGTCCTCTAGGATGTTGCTGTTCTTGGTGGTGATCAGAACCATGTACAACTTCTCCATTGGCTGATACACATAGCGCACGCTCTCTGTTTCCACAAATGTGTGCTGCTTCCCCGTGTTCATGAGCTTGGGGAAGGCTGCCAGCAGCCCCTCGATGCGGGTTCGAGTCATCTCCACAAACTGCCTCGAGACAATGGCCTTCCCTGCCTTTGTGCAAACAGCTGCTGCCAACAGCACCTGCAGCAAATACAAGCATTGTTACTACCACTCAGCAGGCAAACAGATTTTCTGGGTGAGTGGCTTTTGAACAGTACTGGTCTATGCATAAGGAAAAGTCTCTGACCAAAGGTTTGGTTTCTGCACTCCTCTGCAGGGTGCCCAGCACACTTAGCGCCCAATGAAGAAAGTATTTACATGACCCTATTTGGCACAGCAACATGAACCCTCCATGGGAGGGACCCAAACCTGTGTTCCTCTTGAGACATGGTCCAATCCACCTTCTGTTTTCCTTGCTCCTCCCACCCCCCAATTCAGATCACAACACAGCTCAGTGACCTCAAGTTCTACGCAGGTGTTCACTGCAAAATAAGATTCAAGCACGTAAAAGACAGCAAATGCCACCTGCTAGGGTAAAGGAACTTGCATCATTAACAGCCTTCAGCTGTTGAACCAATAGCTCATGCATAGGCCAAGAATTGTTGTCCAAGGAAGTGTGAAAGGCAAAACAGCACTACAAAAATATTAACCTTCTATAAAGCTGTTGGCGTAGTTTGGACGTCGTTATTGAACAAGTCCAAGTGGCATTTGCTACCTTTTATAAGCCTACAGTAGTAATGTTAAACCAATCTGAGAGACTGGCTCAGGGTATTTCTAGGGTTCCACTGCATGTGCACATAAAGCTTCAGGTCACTTAGCCATCTGCTGTTACCTGAGCAATGTTTCTTTTTGCAGATAAGTGTTCATTTTAAACCACTGAAGGGATTTTAGCTCCAAAATTTAGCTTCTGGGCCTTCTTTTTACTGAGCTTATTTTCAAATGTTTTTTTTAGTGGCCTGAGGAACCACACTGCAACACTGTGGTACTGCAGGAATGCCAAGGCACAGAACTAATCGAAAACAAAGCTGAGTGCCACTGTTCAAACCAAAGGAAATGCAAAAATACAAAGGCAACAGATAATAGCAGAAAGTTATAAAACTGCTTTCAAACTGAGGTTACAACAAGTGTTAACAAATGAGGGAATATCTTTAACTATTGTTCCTCTCTACGGGGCCCATTTTAAAAGTCAGCTATGCTTGTACTGGATTTGTTAATAAAATATTAAACAGGATATTAATGCAGCTCACAGAATGCTCCACTGGACTTTTCACAGATATTGTCATGAAAATGATCATATGAAATATGGTGAGATAGTGACTCAGAACGTTTCCTTCTAAAAGAATTTACTTCCACTTGAACTATCAAATTTTTACAAAGACTTTACCATTTTTTCCTTACTTAGAGCTCCTTGGTAATGAGACAAATACCGGCAACTATCAAACCTATTTGAGACATCAGTCCCACATGTGGCCATAAGTTTTCACTGTATGGGCTCCCAGAGCTGGACAGGGTGCGTGGATGCCTTGAATGAACTGCTTAAATCCTCTCCAGGCTACAACGGCTTTAGGGCAGAGCAAATCCCTTGTGAAACAAACAGGCAGAAGTGAGCCTCATGCCCTTGCCCTTGTCCTCAGGGCTCAGAGATCAGCTTCACAAATACGTTTCGCATCACTAACAAGACACTCTGCTTTCAGGAGCACCCCTGTACAGAAGAGGACAGGAAGCCTGGGTGGGAACGGGGGCTCCTAGCAGATAAAGCTGCCGACTGTGAATGGGAGAGGCAAAAGGAGGACTCCACAAGGGACAAGACTCTGGACCATCAACTCACCTGACAGAAGAGGTGGACAGGTGATGGATTACTTGTACCAGGCAGCAGACACATTAGAGGTTATGAAGCCACAGGAACCTGATGCATTATCAATCTTTAAGGGCCTTTAAACTACAGAAGCATTTGATACAAGTTATATGAGAGAGGCAGGGCTCGCCGCGTACAGGTAAGAAGTGATGATGTGTCACTGCCACATCCTGATCACTGACAGAACATATTCGCAACAACAGAACCACTTCCTAGATGTGGAAAACAAAAACCAAACCAATGTGATTCAAGCTTGAACACGTTCCACAGCTGAGTAAGACTCTGTGGCTCTGGACATTGACCTATTCATTTTGATTTGACACATTCAGTATCCTGATAAGTTCGTCAGGAGGGGAGCGGAGCCGCTGGGTGCCTGCCACAACTGAGGTCATTAGTCTCAACCCTGCAAAGATCAGAACGATGAAAATGCTCTTTCCCAAACGTTTGACTGACACCATTAATTTGGGCACACACTTCCCAAAAAGATCCTGCACTTAAACAAAGATGTGACGACCCATCACCTACGGCAGCCTGCAAAAAACGTTTTTGTCAATTCAAGGCAGCCTAAGTTAGCGACAGGCAGATCCCACTTGGATTTCCTGGGCGAGATTGAAGGAGCACAACACATGCCACCGCCCAAGCCGGGCTCCGTGGGATGCTGCACGGATCAGTGCCCGGTCGCTGCCATGCCGCGAGAGCCCCGACCTGCTTCAACAACCCGTCTGCGGCCTAGCGCCGCTGTAAAGGTGCTTCACGTCCTTGCTTCTGGTGCCTAAACAATTAACTTCTTTGGGCAGAAACCAAACCCAAGCGTAACGATCCGCCGTGCGAAACTATTGTTTAAGTGCTTTCTTCCTAGCCTCAGTGAAGGGCCCGCCCGGGAAGACGCTTCAGGCCAGACTGCGGAGCCCGTCCGCGGGCCTGACGGGCCGGAGCGGCGTGGAGACCCGGCTCGCGGAGGGCAGCGGCGGTCACCTCCTGCCGCGGCCGGAACAAAGGGCCAAAGGCAGCGGCCCCGGCCCCGGCCGGACGTGCGGAGCGGATCGAGCGGGTGACAACGCGCCACCCCCGCTCGC